GATCCAACAAAATTAAACCTATATATCCAAGAGGGACTCATGCACATATACACCAGGATACATACCTGAAAATATACATCTAGAAGCAACCCATATTGTATTCCATTAATAATAAAACAGATAAACAAATTTTAGAAATAATCTACAAATGCATTCAATAACTGGTAAGTCTTTAATATTGAATAAAAACAAGCCATAAAAAATACACACAGCATTTTTCTGGTGCATGTAAATTTCAAGAATAGGCAAAACTAAACTATATCATTTAAGTATACATAAATAATAAAGAAAGCAAGGAAATCTTTTTTTTTTTAAGTCAGGATAATGGTTACTTCAAGAAGTGACTAGCAGTTACACAGATGTTTGTTCTATAATGACTTGTTAAACGGTATCTGTAAATTTCATGCACTTTTTAGTATATGTGATATTTGCAACAAAAATGAGGGGGGAAAAAAAGAAAGTAGAGTTGAGTGATAATCTATAAGGCAACCAAGCTAACATTATGAAAACTTAGGGGAGGTAAAAGCAAAACAGAAATCACCACAATGTAAAGAGAACAAACCCAATACCAGAGAAAAAGAAGAACCATTATTGAAAAAGAGAAAAAAAAATATAGTGTCTTTTATGTCATTCAGAAACAGAGATGATTTTTTAAAAATCAACAATAAATAAATTTTGGTTTGGTCACAAATGACAACAATTTCTCTTTGGTTCAACTTCAAAATTCTAACTTTTACAAATCTCTTTTAGAGGCAAAATACACACAACATAAATGAAGTCAAAGGACAAACAACTCCTGTGAAGAGGAAATATTTAAGCTGAGATCTGAGGGATAAGTAGAAATTCACCCAGCGGAGAGTGTTCCAGGCTGAGGGAACAGCAAATGAGAAGGTGCAGAGGTGCAAAAGGCCCTGACCCTTGCCAAAAACTGAAAGGAGACCAGCCTGGCAGAAATGCAATGCCGACCTTCATCTGGAGAAGGCTGCCTGAAGAGGAATGGTGGAAGAAAACCAATTCTGTTGATTGTGAAGATTTTCTCCCATTCTGTGGATTGTCTGTTTACTCAGCTGACTGTTCCCTTTGCTGTATGGAAGCTCTTTAGTTTACTTAAGTCCTACCTATTTACCTTTGTTTTTGATGATTTTCAAAAGAAAATATACAAATGGACAAAAAACATATGAAAAAATGCTTAACATCACTAATGATCATGGAAATGCAAACCAAAACCACAATGCCATACCATCTTACTCCCTCAAGAATAACTGAAAACTCAAAAATAATAGACGTTGGCGTGGATGTGGTGAAAAGGGAACACTTCCACACTGTTGGTGGGAATGTAAACTAGTACAATCACTATGGAAAACAGTGTAAAGATTCCTTAAAGAACTAAAAGTAGAACTACCATTTGATCCAGCAATCCCACTATTGGGTATCTACCCAGAGGAAAAGAAGTCATTATATGAAAAAGATAGTTGCACATGCATGTTTATAGCAGCACAATTCACAAATGCAAAAATATAGAACTAGTCCAAATGCCCATCAATCAATGAGTGGAAAAAGAAACTGTGAGATACACACACACACACACATCACATATATATCACACACACATATATATATACACACACACATATATATGATGGAATACTACTCTGCCACAAATAGGAATGAATTAATGCCATTCACAGCAACCTGGATGGGATTAGAGACTATTATTCTAAGTGAGGTAACTCAGGAATGGAAAACCAAACATCATATGTCCTCACTCATAAGTGGGAGCTAAGTCATGAGAATGCAAAGGCATAGGAATGATACAATGGACTTTGGGGACTTGGGGGGAAAAGGGCAGGAAGCGGGTGAGGGATAAAAGGCTACAAATTGGGTTTAGTGTATACTGCTCGGGTGATGGGTTCACCAAAATCTCACAAATCACCACTAAAGAACTTACTCATGTAACCAAACACCACCTGTTCCTCAAAAATTTCTATGGAAATAAAAATTTTAAAAATTTTTAATAAAAATAAATAAATACATAAAAGATTATTATTAAAGATTTTTAAAAAAAGAAATTCCAGAAACTTCCGTTTTGCTAAAATGTTACTGGTTGGGTCTCGATGTTATCACCTCTGATAACTGCCACCTCCTCCCCACGGAGAGTTTTAAGGTGAATAGGAAATTTGCGTTCATAGAGAAAAAAGTACAATGCTGGACACTAAATTAATTCTACCAAGATGTTTAATCTCTGATTTCTGTGTTGCTGTAAACTTCATACATAGTCAACTAGCACTGAAAAGAAGGAAGAAATTGAAACGAGACAAAGGACATAACAAATTCTTTCCCTTGACTGTGAGTTTAATGCTGAACAACTATAAAAGCTATTGGTAGGACTTGGGTGTTCCCAAACATGCAGGTCCTACGACTACTGGGAGAGTAAGTGGGTTCCGCCAGAACTTAAGTTATCCCTTTCCGACTGCAATGTCTGTAGTATTTCCAATAATGTATTCAGGATTCAAGGCAATGCTTTTCCAAACGGGAGCAGACAGATTTTTGAGGTGTGATCTACTTATTCCCCTTACTGAAGAAAAAAATAAGCCCGACTCTTTATATTTACCTAAATTAATTGTATTCTTATTGACAACGAGAATAATAGCTTTGAAGTAAATACACACACTGTGCTTTAAAAGTCCACTCTGTCTCCCTGCTTTATTTTCTACACAATACATACATTATTTCAGATATACATTCAAAAGGACAGCTATCTACTGGTACTTTTAAAGAAATTATGCATTTTCTGGTGCCAGAACACTCAGATGGTCCATTTACCACTTCAGGGAACTTGCCAGTGTTTTTTAAGCAGTGAAAGTTTCATTTTCTCACTTTTTTTTAAATTCCTATTCTCTTTCATGATATTCACTAATACTATGAAATTATTCAGACATTTTAGAAGCCATTAAAAGTAGAGAAAATTTCTGTTCTCTATAGAATGTAGATCTTATATTTGTTTTTAAACCAAACAGGTGTGTCGAAAAAGGAGGCACAGGGATTTACACTTCTACAGTAACACGGCCTTCAGTTCAAAGCAGGCACACCAATGTCTAATCACTTTGACCAGTCACTTTCACGTAGGAGGAAGTCAAGGTCTGTTGGTTAACTGATTCATTAGTTAGTTAATGTAATAAGTTCAGCTTGCCTCCTTTCTTTGAGCCCCAAAAGTTCAATGGAAATGAGAAAAATATAAAGAATCAGAGACTCTTAGATAGTAGGAACACAATTATCCCATAAAAAATGTAGAATGTCATCTTTTGTAAAAATTCTTTGCAAAGTAGTTGAAGATGCTTTTTCAGAACCCCAGATACTCTCTCAAGTTCATTTTATAAAATGTTTAACAAGGCTTCATCAAGAACTTACATAAAATATAAAATCTGGGAAATATCATTCTGGACATAGGCCCTGGCAAAGATTTCATGATGAAGCAAGCAATTGCAACAAAAACAAAAATTGACAAATGGGACCTAATTGAACTAAAGCACTTCTGCACAGCAAAAGAAACTATCAACACGGTAAACAGACAACCTGCAGAATGGGAGAAAATATTTACAAACTATGTATCCAAAAGAGGTATAGTATCCAGAATCTATGAAGAATTTCAACAAACCAACAAACAAAAAGCTAGCAATCCCATTAAAAAATGGTCAATGATCGTGAATAGACACTTCTCAAAAGAAGACATACACACAGCCAATGAGCATGTGGAAAAAAGGTCCACATAACTAATCATTAAAGAAATGCAAATCAAGACCACAATGAGATATTGTCTCACACCAATCAGAATGGCCATTGTTAAAAAGTCAAAAAGCAACAGGTGCTGGCAAGGTTGAGGAGAAAAAGGAACACTTATTCATTGCTGGTGGGAATGTAAATTAGTTCAGCCAATGTTGAAGGGAGTTTGGAGATTTTTCAAAGAACTGAAAACAGAACTACCATTCAACTCAACAATCCCATTACTGGGTATATACCTAAAGAAATAGAAATCATTCCAACATAAACATATCTGCACGCATATGTTCACTGCTGCACTATTCACAATAGCAAAGATGTGGAATCAACCTAAATGTCCATCAGTGGTGGACTGGATAAAGGAAATGTGGCATATATATACCATGGAATACCACACAGCCATTAAAAAGAATGAGATCATGTTCTTTGCGATAGCATGGATGGAACTGAAGGCCGTTATCCTAAGTGAATTAACACATGAACAGAAAACCAAATACCACATGTTCTCACTTATGGGAGTTAAACATTGAATACACATGGATATGAAGAGAACAATAGACACTTGAGAGTGGAAGGTGGGAGGAGGATGAGAATTGAAAAACTACCTATCGAGTACTATGCTTATTACCTGGGTGATGAAATAATCTGTACATCAAATCCCCAAAACACACAATTTACCCATGTAACTAACAAATCTGCACATGTACCCCCAACCCAAAATAAAAGTTAGAAAGAAATAATAAAAATGAAATATATATGTGTGATTGATTCATGTCTACTTATGAATGTATCCACACCCAGATTTCTAGAAATACATATACAACACAACAGTTCCAAAAGATTATAGGAAAACAGGAAGATATTTATGCTTCAGAAAACAAGATTTAATAAACATCTATTTGGCAACTATTGTTTTTCAGTCATAGTCTGGCTAGTAAGGACACTACACTGAGTAAGTCAGACATAATACCTGCCTTCATAGAGCAAGAAGCAGATAATGAAAAGCATGAAGAGAGTAACAGGGATGAGAAGGGCTAAAAACGCGCCAGGGACAAGATAGGAAAGGCAGAACAACTTTTCTTGTTTTCAATAACATTGTGTTTCATAAAAATGACAGCAAGAATTATAATCATAAATTAGAAATTCATTATAAAAGTAGTTGAGATCTCATAAGTGGTTGGTGCTTTAAAAAGTGATAAAATGGAAGCTAAGGTTTACCTTACTGCATAATCCTTGAATCCCTCATGGTCATTGTTGCTGAAAAAGAAAACAAGAACAGAACAGTAATGAGATGAAGGAATGGATGGCTAATTGCTTGAACTGATTGATTGGTTGATCTTGTCAAGGTGGAGTGAACTACACAGATGGTATGAAAAACCTTTTGAGTATCTAGTTACCAACTAAAAATAATTACCTCATCCTGGGTCAGCATTTGATTGGGTTCCAACTGGATGGCAATTTAACTATTCTAAGTCTCATCATACAACATCCTGCCAACAAATACTTAGAGATCATCTCTAGATACTATTCATACTTATACCAAGGCTTTAGTGCAAACATATTTCCCTTTTTTTCTTCTGTGGTCCTTTTACATATGTTGCTCCTTTGCTAACATTTTGCTTTATCTAGGCATATCAACTTGTGAATAAACATATGTATATATTTTGTTTCCACATTAGGAAACAGGTGGTTTTTTGTTACATTGATACGTTCTTTAGTGGTGACGTCTGAGATTTTGGTGCACCCATCACCCAAGCAGTGTACGCCATACCCAATGTGTAGTCTTTTATCCCTCACCCAACCCCCATCCTTCCCCCTAAATCCCCAGAGTCCATTATCTCATTCTTATGCCTTTGCATCCTCATAACTTAGCTGACACTTATAAGTAAGAAATACAATATTTGGTTTTCCATTCCTGGGTTACTTCACTTCAAAAAATAGTCTCCGGGGCCAGTCACGGTGGCTCACACCTGTAATCCCAGCACTTTGGGAGGCCAAGGCAGGTGGATCACCTGAGGTCAGGAGGTATAAGAAAAGAAAATATTGCCATAAAAAACGAATGAAATAATGGCATTTCAGGGCACCTTTGATGGAGTTGCGATACCCTTCGCTTCGCTTCCTTCGCTTCCTTTCCTATCCTTTCTTCCTTTCCTTCCTTCTTCCTTCTTTCCTCGCTCCCTCCTCCCTCCCTCCCTCTCCTTCTTCCTTTCTCCTTTCCTCCCTTCCTCCCTTTCCTCTTCCCGTCCTGCCT